TTTCGGGGGGGGGGGGGGGCGGACACTGTTAAAAGTATATATTTTCTATATAAATTATACAAATTTCATTTCGTTCATGCCTGGAAGAAACACTGATTATACCAACAACACAAAATAGAATTAAAACGTATAATAGTTTTAGCAACTGAGATTATTCTAGTGCGCAGGGTTATAAATCTTTGTGTTCATTTCTACAGAGATAAATTATTTAGGGCTATTTTATATTATTGCTTGATCAATATTACTCCGCCCGCACATCATTTGTAATATTCTATTGTATTCGCCAGCTGCTTCACCGTTGTTTCATGAAGTTAAGGCCAGCCTCCTATCTATGGTTACAAGCAACATTCTTTAGTGGTACTTTCGTAGGTGGGGGAATGGTCTAGAGGTTTTAAATGTGTTAAATTAGATTGGCGTTGGCGGAAGCACATACCGCCTGGCGTGGTTGTAAAGCCAGGGTTCAGTTGTGATGTCAGGGTTCAGTTGTGATGTCAGGGTTCAGTTGTGATGTCAGGGTTCAGTTGTGATGTCAGGGTTCAGTTGTGATGTAAGGGTTCAGTTGTGATGTCAGGGTTCAGTTGTGATGTCAGGGTTCAGGTGTAATGTCAGGGTTCAGTTGTGATGTCAGGGTTCAGTTGTGATGTCAGGGTTCAGTTGTGATGTCAGGGTTCAGTTGTGATGTAAGGGTTCAGTTGTGATGTCAGGGTTCAGTTGTGATGTCAGGGTTCAGGTGTAATGTCAGGGTTCAGTTGTGATGTCAGGGTTCAGTTGTGATGTCAAGGTTCAGTTGTGATGTCAGGGTTCAGTTGTGATGTCAGGGTTCAGTTGTGATGTCAGGGTTCAGTTGTAATGTCAGGGTTCAGTTGCAATGTCAGGGTTAAGCCATGGTGTGGAGTGTGAGTGTGGGTAACAGTTTGTAAACTGATGACACACAACTTACGTGACGATGTGACAGTGTGGTGGTTGTGGTGGTGTGTGTGGGGGTGGATTAAGTTTGCATTCAATATGTCAATTTGACAATGTAGTGGGGGGGGGGGTGAAATTATTACACAGGAAATTGACACTTTCTTCAATTTTTTTTTTTCAAGAGTAACAATTGCGAAGCTTGATCAATAATACAGAGCTACCATTCCTTCAACTGTTAAGTATTATATTTTTTTATAGAGTAAAAACTTAAAGACAGTGTTACAACATCTATCTTTGCCATTATCCTGCAAGGTATAATGGAATTTTGTCTCCCCTCATTGTCTTTTATATTTTCGATCTTTTTTTGTCTCCCCTGGTTACGTTTTTTTATATTTTCGATGTGTTTTTGTCTCCCCTCAAAACGTCTTCTATATTTTCAAACTGTTTTTCTCTCCCCTCATTACATTTATATTTCTTTATCTGTTTTTATCTCCCCTCATAGAATCATCATCGGGTATCGGATAAATCGTACGCACAAATATTTAAATGTTAACCACATTATCACTTCTGGTGTATCAGATTTAAAAAGCACACTTAGAATAATCAAATTTTATTAAAAAGTATTCTTTCAATTGATATTAAATCAGAAATACACTAGTGAATTTAAAATTGTGTAAACATTAATAACTGCTTTAATACATTAATTTAATTATTGATATGAAATTAAAGCCTTCATTAAAGTTAAGTTTTCATCATTAGCCCAAAACATTTGTAAAGTAAACACATTTCTAAAAACATCAATCAAGACGAATTATTGAAGACACTTTTAAAAGTACACAAGATTTAATCTTAACGCTTGTGGAGTTTCTAAGTATAAAAATATAAAACTATGTCACGAGCAGAGTTTCTTTCAGGCATCTTCGGGGGACCCCCATCTCCGAAGAAAGTCTACCCCCTCTCCCGGAAATTTTAGTCCGCTTGTCAGTCCCCCCAACCCCCCCCCCCCCCCCCCCCCCCCCACTAAATTTCAAGTGCCCTCTGGAGAAAAAAGTCTGGGAGAAACACTGATCACGTCCTCGTACAATCAAAAAAGGACAAAAATAATAAGCATGGATAAAATCAACAGGTATAGGCCTATAATATAGTGTACATTTTGAGAATATTTAAAAAAAACATCTGCATCTATAAACGTAACATATAAAATCAGTTCAATGATCTTAATAGCGAATTCGACATCAGGTTTAAAATTTTCGTTTAAAAGTAAGATTTGTAATAAAACGAAAAAGCAAAAAAAAAAAGTTTAATACACAAATTTGGAAGATAGAGAGTCAGAGAGACGTTTAATATAGATGTAATGAATGCACAAGGGAATTTTTTTTTAACTGCATAAAATGTTCTTTTGAAAGTATTTTGAAAAGTATTTTTGAAAGTATAACTTTAGTTAACATTTTTTCAAGGCTAATTGTATGCCCTTGTGAAAATAAAAATTTAAATTGTCATTTAAAACACTGCTAAAATGTTAGTAAATAGTTTTGATTATTGGCGAGAAATTGTAATTAATGAAATAAAAAAATAAGGATAAGAATTATATTGAACATTTACAAATTAAATTGCACTTCACTTGAATTTGAACTTAATCGCTTTAAGACACGCAGAAATCTATCTAGTAACGTGGAAATGATGACGTCATTACCTCAAAACATGGTAGAGTAAAATAAAATTTAAAGCACAATTCTTAAAATTTTAAAAGAATTTAAAAATTTAAAAAAAAACCCACATCTTATAAACCATTATAATGTTACAACATTGAAAATTGTAAAAGATTAATCATAAAAGAAAAAAATATTTACAGTTGCTAGGTATCCTGATACTTCAACCAATGTAAACATAAGACATCACTGGTGGCTAAAGATAAAATTGTCAAAACCTGATATAAAAACAACCTCATAAAAATTGAGTTAATGAATTTTCAATGTATATGACATCTTAAAATATTTCTAATGAAAAAGATAGACAACTGAACAGTTAGTTAAAAGGAATCCTGGAGTAAAACAAAAGAAAGCACAAAATTGTTCTCAAAAGTATCCCAATAATAATCCTTCTATGTAACCTTAGAAGAATAACTAGAAGTATCCTCAGAAAAAAATCGCTATATATCCCTTGAAGAATTACTTAAATATCCCCAGAAGAACCACTATATGTATCAACAGAGGAAACCCTATATGTATCTGTGGAAGAATCTCTTTATATATCCCTAGAAAAATCACTAAAATTATCCCCAGAAGAATCCCTATACTTATCCCTATAAAAATCACCAAAATATCCCCAGAAGAATTCCTCTTAGTTTCCCTCTATGTATCCCTAGTACTATCCTAGTATTAATCTGATATTTCTACCAATCTAAACTACGGCCACAGCTTCTTTAAAGCGATATAATGTTCAGAACTGCAGCTACACCATGACGATAAATTTAAATGTCTACCATTCTAACGTGCGGACACATCTCTAATGCGAACAAAATAGCGAAAGTGGAGTTAAAAATAAATCATTAAAAATTAAGCACTATTTATATTTTTCTCACATTAATTATGATATTTCAATTAAGATAGATAAAAAAACATGGGCACAGCTAAGCAAAAATTATAAAATATCTGGAAAAAAATCGACTCAATATCTACGCCCTCTATGTCTAGCATTGCTGCCTCTAAACTGTTGAGGACCGTAGGCATATGCACAGTAATTTGGACAGTACGACTGGGTGTGGGCATATGCCCCTGTAGCTCCACACAAGCGGCAGATAATGGATCTAAGTGCCGGGCAGATAACTCTACCATTGGTATCTTTCACGTTATGAGACGTGTACTGTTCCTCTGATTTGCCTTTCCTTTGACAGAAGCCGCAGAATTTCTCAGACGCAGCGCTTGTCTCGCTTGACTGGTCATAGTCAGATGTGGGTTGTCTCCCTTCTACGCTCCTACTCCGGGCATCTAGAGCAGTGCTCAAAACAGACTTGCCTCCACTTGCCTGATGTGTGTCGTCGTCTTCATCCTCTTCGGTGATGTTGTCGCCGTTATCGGGTTTCGCCTCATCTGAATAATATCCGTCAGAAGATACGAGAGTATCCGCGTCAGATAATTCCGGTTCTTCGGAAGTTTCTTCAATAGTGCAAGAGAAATCAGAAGTGTTCTCGGTCGAGTTTCGTTGAACATCGTCATTTTTACTAATGTGGAGGTTCTTCAAGTCTCCAGTCAAATTGTATACTGATTTGTCTAAGCCCCCATCAGTTCCGTTTAAAGGTGCCGCTTCGTATTGAAGAAGAGTCGGGTGGCTCCTTTTTGAAGTCTCCTTCCCCAGAGCCGGGTAGATGGGACAAGGGGAAAAGGGCCCAAAATGATCTGAAGATTTGGATGTGTCGAAGTTGTCGAACTTGAGCGGGGTGAAGATGTCATTCTCGTGCAAGTTCAAAATCCGATAGTCGATTCCACTTCCTGGAAAGATAGAATCGAATGCTTTGTCAAAGGTTTCGACAAGTGGGACGTCAGGCAACAGATTGGGATCTTTGCTCAAGTTGTCATCAGACAGGGACCAAGATCCTGGCTGTCTTGGTAAAGACATTTCTGAGACACAAGATCCTGGCTGTCTTGATAAAGACATTTCTGAGACACAAGATCCTGTCTGTCTTGATAAAGACATTTCTGAGACACAAGATCCTGGCTGTCTTGATAAAGACATTTCTGAGACACAAGATCCTGTCTGTCTTGATAAAGACATTTCTGAGACACAAGATCCTGGCTGTCTTGATAAAGACATTTCTGAGACACACGATCCTGGCTGTCTTGATAAAGACAGGTCAGAGACACGAGATCCTGGCTGTCTTGATAAAGACATTTCTGAGACACAAGATCCTGGCTGTCTTGATAAAGACAGGTCTGAGACACAAGATCCTGGTTGTCTTGATAAAGACATTTCTGAGACACAAGATCCTGGTTGTCTTGATAAAGACAGGTCTGAGACACAAGATCCTGGCTGTCTTGGTAAAGACATTTCTGAGACACAAGATCCTGGCTGTCTTGATAAAGACATTTCTGAGACACATGATGCTGGCTGTCTTGATAAAGACAGGTCAGAGACACGAGATCCTGGCTGTCTTGATAAAGACATTTCTGAGACACAAGATTCTGGCTGTCTTGGTAAAGACATTTCTGAGACACAAGATCCTGGCTGTCTTGATAAAGACAGGTCTGAGACACAAGATCCTGGCTGTCTTGATAAAGACATTTCTGAGACACAAGATCCTGGTTGTCTTGATAAAGACATTTCTGAGACACAAGATGCTGGCTGTCTTGATAAAGACATTTCTGAGACACAAGATGCTGGCTGTCTTGATAAAGACATTTCTGAGACACAAGATCCTGGCTGTCTTGATAAAGACAGGTCTGAGACACAAGATCCTGGCTGTCTTGATAAAGACATTTCTGAGACACAAGATCCTGGTTGTCTTGATAAAGACATTTCTGAGACACAAGATGCTGGCTGTCTTGATAAAGACATTTCTGAGACACAAGATCCTGGTTGTCTTGATAAAGACAGGTCTGAGACACAAGATCCTGGCTGTCTTGGTAAAGACATTTCTGAGACACAAGATCCTGGCTGTCTTGATAAAGACATTTCTGAGACACATGATGCTGGCTGTCTTGATAAAGACATTTCTGAGACACAAGATCCTGGTTGTCTTGATAAAGACAGGTCTGAGACACAAGATCCTGGCTGTCTTGGTAAAGACATTTCTGAGACACAAGATCCTGGCTGTCTTGATAAAGACATTTCTGAGACACAAGATCCTGGCTGTCTTGATAAAGACATTTCTGAGACACATGATGCTGGCTGTCTTGATAAAGACATTTCTGAGACACAAGATCCTGTCTGTCTTGATAAAGACATTTCTGAGACACAAGATCCTGGCTGTCTTGATAAAGACATTTCTGAGACACATGATGCTGGCTGTCTTGATAAAGACAGGTCAGAGACACGAGATCCTGGCTGTCTTGGTAAAGACATTTCTGAGACACACGATCCTGGCTGTCTTGGTAAAGACGTGCCAGACCAGTGGTTGAACTGTCCCAGTAATGCCGGGTTGAATGCCGTCTGCTCTGAGTCCTGGTTGTCAAACATCTCATGACGTGACAGCAGGTCATTATCAGGTGGGGCTGGCACTGCTTGACTGTAAGTTTTCTGAAAAGGATTGTAATCAAATATTTGAAACATATATAATCTTGTTCTTTGATATGATATGAAAATGTAGGTTTTAAAAATGTATACAAACTACTCACATTATATACACATTGAGATTTTGGTGACATTTTTGTGCAGTTTAGTAAAGGCAAAGAAATGTTGACAGCTAGAATGCATAAAGACATTACTAGTAATGGCTTAGTAAACTATACGACTTGTCAATTGACCTTCATATGTTTAGAGGTAATCATTGTAATTTTTTTTTTAAATACTACACAGTTAATATATAAGTACAATTATTTATTTCATAAACGTAACCACAAAAAGGGAAGCAACTTTGAATTTAAAATCGATCAAATAAGAAGTTCTTTACCTCAATAGGAATATATAGTTTTTTTCCCGACCATGGTGCCTTGTTTTCTTGATCAGGGGAAGCAACACTTTCCCAATAATTCTGATCCTCATAGCTACACACGATGGGTTTAGACAGACCTGATGTAGAAAAAAACGAACTTGAATTGTTTCTCATTTTAAGGACGACACGTTTTTTTTCAACAAGAACCCAAATAAACATTAGACTCACTAATTAAATGGACCATGTTCAGCAGATCTCGAGTTTTTCGTTGAGTGGCTTCGTCTAGTGTTTCATTAGGTCCTGGCTCATCAGATGCAATGATCCTGTTGAAGTCTTTAATGTAGTCGAAAGCTCCGGCTAAAATAATGGTTCAATACAAATAGCAAAACAATGAGATTTTAGAGATGTATAAATACTATAAACGGTGCTCTCGCGTGCAAACAAATCTATACCAACGGTTTACATTTAGCGATGTCGGGTCGGTAAAACACATGGTTGCTAAATCGAATAGTCCGGAGTTCGAACCCACGGGCAGATGATACTAAATCGCTGTAACAGCAACCAAAATCATATAATTGCTGCCGTGTAGCTTGTTCTTGGTTGGAACTTAGCTATAGAAGCAAATCTAGAAATCTACTGTAAGTTGTGTTGGGGGAAATCCCTTCCAACATTACACTGAAGTACGAAGAAGAAGAAGGAAAGTGGTATGCAGAAGGTTAATTGAAAACATTCACTTACACTAACTAAAGCCAAATTGTAACTTTATTTTATTTACCAAAAAGTTGAAAATAGCGCGAATAGGTATGTCTTCAATACAGTACATATTAAATATACTATTTTTAATTAACCTTTTGTTTAACAAAAAAACCACTGATAAACTTAACGTAATGTTACCCGTGCAGATAATAGAGATGAAGTATGTGTGTGACCTCGGCATATAATAGTATATAAACGTTTACTAACGCCAGATACTGATTAGAGCTGAGTATGCTCAGTGGCATGTTGCTGACTCGCTCACGGGATCCGAACTCGAGATACCCAGATTACCAGTCGTGCGCTACACCGTCCGACATCTTTTTATAACCATCGGTTAATTAACTATTTTGTAAACTGTAGTTTAATGTCATGCATCAAAAACTGACCGTCATAGTTTTCCTGAGTGAGTTTATCCCAGTTAGACATGAGCTGTGTGAAGACAGTGCTTTTGGCGATTTCATCATCCGCGGGGACAGGGGTCAAAGAGACTGGGGGTCGGCCCAATATGGGGCGCCCTGTAAGAGGTTTTATAATGTGCATGTTCATATATAATGGTGATCTTGTGGGACCATTGTATAAACGCGTTTTATAATGGTTCATACATGTTTCACTGCATATATATTTTTAAACATATTTTTTAGTTTTCATTGTTTTCAGAGGCGTAGCGACCCTTCCCGGCGCCCGGGGAAAGATTTTCAATTTGGCGCCCCCCTCCCCCTCGGGAACAACCTTTCAATTTTCAAGTTGCCCCCCCCCCCCCACCTCAAACTTTAAATTTGCACCCCCCCCCCCCCCGCCAAATATTTTTTAAAAATATTTATAATGCAAAACTGCAGCTAAAATGAGATTTTAATATGTTTTTCCAACCCACTTTGGCGCCCCCTAAGGTCGGCGCCCGGGGAAATATGTATCCCCCCCGCCCCCCTCTCGCTACGCCTCTGATCGTTTTGAATGATTGTTTTGTTTGATAGTTTAAAAAATAATTGTACAAATCATAGTTATTTTAAAACCAACCCGTGATAGTAACGTTAGTGTGCTGATCTATGCTAGCATGTGAGTGGTGTGTGATTAAGTCTAGGTGTGTTTATGTTGTAATATGTGGTGTTTTGTCTTCTATGTGGAGTTGAGTGTGTCTATCAGATGAGGTTATGTGGTTTTGTAGCTGTGCCCGTGTTGCGTTGTAGTGTTGATGTGTCTGTGTTTTTCTAATATTAGTAGTTAGCTGTAGGTGTGTTAGGTAAGACAAGATCGACCAGTACTAATGTGTAACGTGATTCATTTGTTTTTTACAAGTGAGCGAATGAGCGATAGTTCACGATGGTGTCAATAAAGGATACGTTTTAAAGAAAGTGTGGGATGTAGAATTTCTAGGACCTAAGGGGTCATCCATAAGAGTTGTCATGGGGTCGTCTATAAATAACGTCAAGGGATCTTCTATAAATATCGTCAATGGGTCGTCCATAAGAGTTGTCATGGAGTCGTCTGTAAATAACGTCAAGGGGTCGCCAATGCATAACGTCAAAGGGTCGTCTGTAAATAACGTCAAGGGGTCGTCTATAAATAACGTCAAGGGGTCGTCTATAAATAACGTCAAGGGGTCGTCTATGAATAACGTCAAGGGGTCGTCTACAATAATGTCAAGGGTCTATAAATAACGTCAAGGGGTCGTCTAAAAATAAAGTCAAGGGGTCGTCTATAACTAACGTCAAGGGGTCGTCTATAAATAACGACAAGGGGTCGTCTATAAATAACATCAAAGGGTCTTCAATGCATAACGTCAAGGATTCGACCATAAATGACGTCAAGTTGTCAAATTACGCCAAGTGGTCATTAATTGACGTCAAAAGGACGTCCACGTACACGTCAAGAAGTAGTCTTTAAATGACGACTAGGATTCACCCATATTACATAACATTTACATTTCTAGACTAAATATGATGAATGCCAGAGATGTTCATATACGCAAATGTTTGCAAAAATAAGTTCTGTAAAGTGAAGAGAAAATTTGAAAAGTAGATTCTATCCAGACCAACAGATTCTGTCAAAATCATTTTTTTTTAAATGCGCCAACTTTCAATTATTTATTTACAAGGTCGAAAAGCTGTTATTCTTGGGAGATGGGTTTGTGTTAGAAATTGGCAGAGGAGGGGGCGGTCTGGGTTTTTTTAAATTTTAAATTTTTTTTTGCTATGAGACAAAGCCAAGACTCATGCAACACACGAAGCCATTTTTTGACGACACGGCTAAGATAATCCGTGAAACAAAATATTTAAATCTAAGGCTGATGACAAACTTACGTTTGGAAGCCTCTGGGGCCGTTACAGGTGGATATAGAGGTATCTGATCATCTGGACAGATACCATATGGCCCTCTAGTCCGGTAATACGGCAGGGGTTGGCTGACTGGCGCCATCATGTCGAGGAATGAGTTCACTTCATGACTGATCTATGGGGTAAAAAAAAAAAAAAGGCGGGTCACTCTGGATTTTTTTCAACTTAATTTTTGGGTAGCCGCTCTTTGCTGTATACTATGTAGTTACTGCTATTCTGCGAGATTGGGGTTAGTTCCCTTGTTTGTATGCTATAGCTACTGTCTTAATTTAAAGATGGAGTTTGTTCCCTTGTGTTAAGACTAGTTACTCAAGATTAGTGTTAGCTCCCCTGTGAATTCACTATAACTACTGGCACAATACAGCCCACAATACAGACTCGTCACTATCACTACCACTAGCTTCTAGATGTAAAATTGCCGGTCTATGTAATGTCTACAGCCAAAATATTATTTCGTGTGTCCGCTGAACTGAATGGACTAAGTACGACAGGATGTCTGAGCGAGATGGACATATAATCAGACACCAACACATCCTTTCGTCATAAAAAACGACGTTTAAAATCATGTTTATTTCCACTACCTCTTGTCCTTTGGGTCCATCAGCTGTGTAGAGAGGGGGGGGGGGGGGTTGATACATGGGGCAACATTTGGCTCTTCTCAACTTAAGGCCCAGGCTTTGTGTTTTGATATCCAGTGCGCGATCATCCAATGATCTATTAGACTATGGAGCCATGTTTTTATATCCACTACCAGCGCCCCCCCCTGTCTCAAGACCTGATAGGGGTCGTCCATAAATGACGTCACACTCTTAGGGGGGAGGGGGGTCCGTAATTTTTGTGACGGTGTGTGATGAGGGGAGGGGGGGTTTCAGATGGTGCCACGTCACACTTTTGCATTATAAAAAATCAATGTTAGAAATCGAATTTTTTACGTTAATACGCGTTTTAGAAAACTCTTTTAATGAATTGTAATATGAATTGATTAAAATACTCTATTTTTACAGAGTTCAGACAAGATTTTAGAAAAATATCGATGTTTTTTTAAAAAATCAACTGCGATTTCGAGGGGGGTTGTAGGCTGAGGTGTGACGTCATTTTAGGGGGGTCTGGCTTTTTGTGACGACGTGTGACGGAGGGGAGGGGGGAGGTAAAAATCGTCCAAAAAAGCGTGACGTCATTTATGGATGACCCCATACCATTTTGTCATGAACGCTTTGAAAAGAAATTAGCATGTATCCCTGTAATATATCCACAGTCTAGAGTGATTATCAAAGAACTAAAACGGCAGGATTAGCTCCCCCAGCTTACACCCCCTGTGTAGCATGGCTGGTCGTCCCCAGGGTGGTACAGACATAGACCCCCGTTACGTGACTGTAGACGTTATCAGTAATCTCCCCTGACTAGAGTCGCCATTTTGGCTGGTCATTTTCCTCCTGAGTTTTTTTTTCCGGCATCTTTTTATAGGTGTATTGTAACACCCCCCCCCCCCCTCACCCACACACATACCTTCAACCCCACTTTCCGAACCGTAAGGGTTGTTGCACCAAGTAGATCTAGAGCTACGGGTTGTAGCCCTAGTAGAGGCAGAGGTAAGGGTTGTAGCCATAATAGATCTAGAGCTAAGGGTTGTAGCCATAATAGATCTAGAGCTAAGGGTTGTAGCCATAATAGATCTAGAGCTAAGGGTTGTAGCCATAATAGATCTAGAGCTAAGGGTTGTAGCCATAGTGAGTCAAGTACTAAGATTGTAGCCCTACAATATCTAGAGCTTTATACCTGTATTATCCCTATTAGACCTTGAGCTCATGTTGTAGCCCTACGAGATCTAGAACTAAGAGCTGTTATCCCACTAGATTAAGATCTAGGAGTTTTAGCCCTACAATATCTAGAGCTATGGGTTGTAGCCCTATAAGACATTGAGCTTATGTTGAAGCCACACTACATCTACAAATAAGAGCTGTGATCCCATTAGATCCAGAGCCAAGGGATTTAGCCCTAGTTCAGTAGACCATGTGGTAAGTGTCGACGCCTCACGTGATCGAGAGCTAAGGATTGTAGGCTTGTAGCCCCAGTAGATCTAGGGATTGTAGGCATGTAGCCCCAGTAGATTAAGAGCTAGGGATTGTAGGCTTGTAGTCCCAGTAGCTAGGGATTGTAGGCATGTAGCCCCAGAAGATCAAGAGCTAAGGATTGTAGGCTTGTAGCCCCAGTAGATTAAGAGCTAAGGATTGTAGGCTTGTAGCCCCAGTAGATTAAGAGCTAAGGATTGTAGGCTTGTAGCCCCAGTAGCTAGGGATTGTAGGCTTGTAGCCCCAGTAGATCAAGAGCTAAGGATTGTAGGCTTGTAGCCCCAGTAGAGCAAGAGCTAGGGATTGTAGGCTTGTAGCCCCAGTAGCTAGGGATTGTAGGCTTGTAGCCCCAGTAGATCAAGAGCTAAGGATTGTAGGCTTGTAGCCCCAGTAGATCAAAAGCTAGGGATTGTAGGCATGTAGCCCCATTAGTTCTAGAGCTAGGGATTGTAGGCTTGTAGCCCCAGTAGATCAAGAGCTAAGGATTGTAGGCTTGTAGCCCCAGTAGAGCAAGAGCTAGGGATTGTAGGCTTGTAGCCCCAGTAGCTAGGGATTGTAGGCTTGTAGCCCCAGTAGATCAAGAGCTAAGGATTGTAGGCTTGTAGCCCCAGTAGCTAGGGATTGTAGGCATGTAGCCCCAGTAGATTAAGAGCTAGGGATTGTAGGCTTGTAGTCCCAGTAGCTAGGGATTGTAGGCATGTAGCCCCAGAAGATCAAGAGCTAGGGATTGTAGGCTTGTATCCCCAGTAGATTAACAGCTAAGGATTGTAGGCTTGTATCCCCAGTAGATTAAGAGCTAAGGATTGTAGGCTTGTAGCCCCAGTAGATCAAGAGCTAAGGATTGTAGGCTTGTAGCCCCAGTAGAGCAAGAGCTAGGGATTGTAGGCTTGTAGCCCCAGTAGCTAGGGATTGTAGGCTTGTAGCCCCAGTAGATCAAGAGCTAAGGATTGTAGGCATGTAGCCCCATTAGTTCTAGAGCTAGGGATTGTAGGCTTGTAGCCCCAGTAGAGCAAGAGCTAGGGATTGTAGGCTTGTAGCCCCAGTAGCTAGGGATTGTAGGCTTGTAGCCCCAGTAGCTAGGGATTGTAGGCTTGTAACCCCAGTAGTTCTAGAGCTAGGGATTGTAGGCATGTAGCCCCAGTAGATCAAGAGCTAAGGATTGTAGGCATGTAGCCCCAGTAGATCGAGGGATTGTAGGCATGTAGCCCCAGTAGATCAAGAGCTAAGGATTGTAGGCTTGTAGCCCCAGTAGTTCGAAAGCTAAGGGTTTTAAAACGTGTTGGTGCTCGACTTTCCCTTCCCCCTCCCCATATGCTTTTCCCCTCTCCCCCTATCGTAAATACTTCTTTGTATGGTCTTACTTTTTAGAATGAACAATGGCTACTGTCATAAACAATGTTACTATATTTTCTTTAGGTCATCTCTAGTAGGAGAGATCGCTACTAGTGAAAAGTTCAGAAATGTGATTCGTCAACGCGCTGGACACAGAACTGACCAGGCTAAAAGGGAGATCACGATGACCCACAAATTTGACACCGACGTTTACAGGCAAAACAAATTTTAAAATGTGGACCAGTAGCCATAGTTCAACCAGATGTGGATTCTCTGAAATACAAAAACTAAATATCCATTCATTTTTTTTACAAATTTTATTCTCTACAAAAGATACTAAATGTTTATGGTGAAATATTTTAACTCAATTTTTACTCACTTCAGATTCAGCGATTCTAACTTATTAGATTTTCTTTTTTTTTCGAAGCATATAACTTTAAAGGTTACTTTATTCAGTAATCAACTGTGAGATCTCGGGTATTATGTAATGGCGATAGCGCACAGCTGTTGTTTACGATTGTGTAAAGTTTTTTATTACACCTGAGCGTTCAGCATTGACAATATTAAGGGGCAAATAACTATCGTTTAGAGGTGTTTTAAAATTTTGTATCCAAGATAATTTGCTGTCCGCTGCCAACGAGGGTCATCTGCCCTGAAACACCTTAATAACCAGCTTTTATAAAATACTAAAATTAAGAAAATAAAACAAACTTTCTTTAGGTGAAATAGTAGCGACCAAAGCTATTTTTATTAAATCACATGAAAAATTGTTTCGTCTATCCTTATTTTCCAGCATTTTGAAGTTTTGTTATTTTGAGTAATGAATCCACTTTAGACGTAGCGATCCATTGGGCAGATGAAGTAGAGTCCATATATTTATTTAACTCGGCATATGAAGATAAAGTAGTCTGCACTTATGCCCAGCCGCCTTTACTTTCCCTAACGTGAGTTAGGTACCCATCAGAGTTGGGTGGACTAAGGGACGTACTACTGACTTGTATTCGAACTCGAGACCTTAGGGTTAGCAGTCTAGCTAAGTCGTTATTAATTGTGTTATCCCATTTACGAGAAATTAATGAAGGTGTTTTGTTAAGATCTGGAAAAATTTGATTTTAAGTGCGTTGTTTGCAGCAGTTATAATTTGCTTCAATTTCACCAGCAAGTAATTGTAGCGGCTAATTATTTCATGACCAATTAAAGTAACAAGAGAGGGTTTTCTATCCTTCTATAAAATTTTAAAATTATTTTAAAAACCGAAGATTATTTGAAACCTTCAACATGTTGTGTAATGTAATTCTTTCAATTAACCTGATTATTACTTTTGTAATTAATTTAAAGGAGTAATAAACTAATACCTAATTAATGGTCTACATTTCATATCAAGTAGTTGTTCACTCGTGATTTTTTTTTACTACAGTCTTATAATTTAATTTAATCAATCTCAACAAATCAAGGCAGTGTTTGGGGAAGTCATTAAACAGATACAGCTAATATTTAGCGCTTTAAAAAATCTAAAAATATCATATGTGACAGTGACATAGACACAGCAAAGCGTCACGCGCTTCTCTGGTGAACAAAACTGACCCTCGGGCGTCAATGAGGTCATAGGTCAATGCTAACCACCCATGAAAGAAATCGGCGCTTTAAAATAATTATTAGGTGGGTTCGTTTTTTGTGGACT